ATAGTGATCTGTGTATGGACTGATAGTGATCTCCTACTACAGTGTTTCCCAACCCTGGTCCTCGAGTACCCCCAACAGTACACAGTTTTCGTTGTAGCCCTTGACAAACACACATACCATTCAACTCACTGAGGGCTTGATGATTCAAATGTGGACTGTTGGGGGTACTCGAGGACCAGGGTTGGAAAACACTGTCCTACTACAACTCTAGCTGGTCAGATAGCTCAGAGCTGGTTTAGATGGTCAACTGATGGGTTGAGATGTACTGGTTTAGGTCTCCTTACCTTTGGCTGTCACTTTTATGCCTGCAGTGTGGAGCTCTTCTTCACTGGTGTTCAAACTGTTAACCAGAGACGCCTCACTGCCTGGAGGATGGGATGAGAGAGCGAGAGGAGGTTAGACCACAAGAACACAACTAATATATTCCAATTAGTAGTGCTTTTATACAAAGCAACTTACAGTCATGCGTGCATACATTTTACATATGGGTGGTCCCATGAATCAAACCCACAATCCTGGCATTACAAGCTCCATGCTCTACCAACTGAGCTACAGAGGACCATTCTGACAGCTAAAGCTGAATATAACTTTCAGATTGAATGAGGTGCTAAATAAGATAATGCAGCCCTTCATCCACAGACAGTCATGCACATCCATTAAATTTAATGGAGCAAAGGTGTATTAGTTGAAATAGTGTTATTTTGCGTTACTCTCTATTTTCATGTAAAGTTGATGCATGTTCATGAGCCGATGATGTCGCCAGTGAAAACTGTCAAGTGTGGGTTCAAACCGCGGCTACCCACAGGCGTACTCTCCCGCTATTCTCCATCTGAGTCACCTTTTACGCACAAACATCACGCGCCCTCCTCCACGTATGTATGGGACACCCAACAACGACCATAAAGGTTTAGACCTAAAGGCTACTCACTGCAGTCACTATTGTCCTCCACGCCGCTGTCGCTGACCACTGAGCGGTCATCCCCTAGCCCGGTGCGCCGTTTGGCTTCAGACAGGAGCCGCTCGTATGCGTACGGGACGCTTTGGGAAGGCTCTCTCAACTCCTCAACCACGTCAGCGAACTCCTGGAGCAGACCAGTTAGCTCCAGCTCCAAGTCTGATAGGGGATTTCGAATATGGTTTTAGTTAGAGTGAGAATAATTCAATTCAATGATTTAATTTAATTACTTTACACATGTATTTTAATTAGCCTATTAATAATAGGCCTGAAGTGATACTTAAAATATATATTTATATGCCATTAAAAACTAAATAATTGATACCAAACAAAATCAGGCTATTTAAAATCAATCCAAACAAAATCAGGCTATTTGAAATCAATCCACATTAAAAATCTACAACAGCAGGACTAAAATGCAAGAAAAAACGCTGCAATAATCAATACCCTAATGATCAATATGTACAATCAAGCCAACGCTCAAGACCCACCTGAAAAGTTCTCTGTGGGCATTCTGAAGTTTTCTGTAGACATTCTGAAAAGCGGGAATAATGTGTCGATGACTACTAGAATACAGCAACTGTTCAAGAAGTCAAGTTTGAAGTTGACAAGTGGGGTCTTCTGTTTATAAAGCCTCCTTAGACTTTACTCACAACGGGAAAAGACGCACTCTGCAGCACCCAATCAGGTCACTGCTCGCGCGGCTTCTGTGGTTACAGTAGTGAGTGGGCGTCTCGAAAGTAACAGTAAAGGGCGAGGAAAATCTTTTCCACAAACGTAAACGAATGAACGGAACAGTCTCAGAAACCCCAAAATAGAGTCTTATGCAACTCTGAGCCATTTTTCTGATGGGTTTTCCATGCGTCACAGAAATCCTCTCTATAATGCCAATTCAGTCTAGAGTCTAAAGGAAATTGACGAGTGGAATTATGAGATTTTCCTAAAATATTTTTTCTATGTTTTCAACCATTATGTAATAAATTGTAGGCCTACTGTTGCCTATTATCTATTATAAACAGCCAATCTGGCTATCTTATTACTGTTTTCCCAGGAAACGCATCTTTACTAACATTAGCCCACCTTAACCCTCCCGTTGTCCTAGGGTCAAAATGACCCGCCACTGTGTTGAACCAACTTTATTTAATTTTTATATTTTTTGGATCATTTGTGAGAAGGAGGCAGTGATACTTTCTTTAAAGTCTCACTGCCTCCTTCTCACAAATGATCCCAAAATTTTTGAAATTAAATAAAGTTGGTTCAACACAGTGGCGGGTAATTTTGACCCTAGGACAACGGGAGGGTTAAAGGCCTAATCATAAAGTTACTTCTTATTATGCTTTTTGGAAATTAACCCGGAAGTATATTCACTGTAGAAGGCCCGTTATTGTAAATTCACCTGAAACTACTCCAACCAACCAACAGGGGTCACTCAAGAAGTGAGAATGAAACGTTACAATTGATGTCACTATAGACGTCTGTCCTACTGACTGACTTACTGGTGGTATGCCTACACCTCTGGGGAGGAAAGACTATAGCCCTTTTACAGTCATATTTCTATATTTAGTTGGACAATACTAGAATTGGAGAAGCACTCTGAGACCACTTGCCATTTGTGGCCACGTTTGACACAGTGGATTTGGAACTTTGTGGTGGAATAACTGTCCCCAAACTGACTTCTTTCTCATCATGATTAACAGTAAGTGTTTCATGTGGTTACAGATAAGAACATTTTACATTTACATTTTAGTAATTTAGCAGACGCTCTTATCCAGAGCGACTTACAGTTAGTGAGTGCATACATTATTTTTTTTATACTGGCCCCCCGTGGGAATCGAACCCACGGGGGGCCAGTTTGAAGAACCTTTTGTATGTCATGTTCCTTTCACCAGAACCATGAAAACAATCCTTTTACTTTCAATTGGTAAATTCCTCAAACCACTAAACCAGAGATAAACGTTACAGCAAGAAGGTAAAGAATACTGACTAACCAGTTGTTCTGATTTGCTGCTGCACACTGTCCAATCAGCTTATTACCTGTAGTGGGAGGGGCACCTGTCTGGCAGAGTGACAAGTGGGAGGGGCGGGAGAGGAGGAGTGGAGAGGGTGCTAACAGTCCCCAGGTAGGCTCCAGGTATAGCTGCCTCCAGCCCCAGTCTTCCTCCCTACTCTTAGCAGAGGTGGAGGCAGAGGAAACCAAGCCAGGTGTCATGTGTGGAGGCTACAGGCCAATGGGACGGATGATAATATGAACTGGGCTGTACTCATTCAGGTCAGTCAACCATTAGAGAATTTCCTTATCACTTGATTAATTAATCACTACAGGGCAATTTATCTGTCATATCATATGTCATATGTCATATCATATTTTGTATCTATGTAATTGTCTATGCTAATTACTGTAACCTAATAAATATTAGTTCACCAAAAGGTCAGTGAACCACTATAGGTCAGTATGAGGGCTGTATCTTGACTACATCTTGTCATTCATGCATTGACACAGACTGATTAATGATTTTCTCTGGAAGCTAATAAAAGGCAATATGACAGTGTTATCTTTGACTACAATCATTCGCCGGCTGCTTATTTAGTTACTCTGGCAGCATAGTAGTATTGTTGATCATTACTTGATCATACGACAGGGAGCTAGTGAATGGGTAATAGGTCATGGGAAATGGGATATCGTCGAGGAAAAGTCACAAAGTCCTTGAGTTAATGGGTTATTGTTGTGACTGGGAGCACATGAAAAAGAAGACCTTCTGTACACTCCTTGGCTGTTTTAAGAATAATGCTTGATGATCGCTATTATTCACTATTAATATGGAACATCATTTTACATTTTAGTCATTTAGCAGACGCTCTTATCCAGAGCGACTTACAGTTAGTGAATACATATTTTTTATTTTTATACTGGCCCCCCGTGGGAATCGAACCCACAACCCTGGCGTTGCAAACACCATGCTCTATCAACTGAGCTACATCCCTGCCGGCCATTCCCTCCCCTACCCTGGACGACGCTGGGCCAATTGTGCGCCGCCAATGAGTCTCCCGGTCGCGGCCGGCTGCGACAGAGCCTGGATGCGAACCAGGATCTCTAGTGGCACAGTTAGCACTGCGATGCAGTGCCTTAGACCACTGCGCCACTCAGGAGACTCGTCATGTAACTATGTAAATTGTCATGTTAATATGTACATTGTCATGTAAATTATGTGCATATGTTTTGTTAAGTGCTTTTTGATAATGATTATTTATAATTCCACAAGCATGTTTTGTCATTAGTCATGGTGCAGTAGGTTTGAATAGTAAGTGAATGAGGGGGTGAGATGCATCAGATTATATTACAGTACTGCTGCACACACAGGATGCGTCCCCAATGCCACCCTATTCCCTAAATAGTGTACAATAAAATGTTTACGCTATTGGCCCTGGTCAAAAGAAGTGCACTAGATAGGGAATAAGGTGCCCTTTAGGATGCAGACAGTCCCTTCTTTTACAGTAGGCACTGAGGTAGAAATGCCACTGTTAATAATAGATCATTAAAGGAAGGAAGATGTTTCCATCCTAGCCTACTTCATGGAGAACTTCCAAGGATGATCATTTCCTCATATGAATGTTTTTCCTCCTCACAACAATGTTCTCCAGTGTTTTTAAGTTCCTTATTCAGGGTTCGTCTTTAGAACGTGGTCCATATCAGTGCTTTACTTCACACCAATGCCCTCTAGTCCAAGTCCTACGTTTTCTCTTCTATGTTCTCCTTTAGAACGTACTGGTCATGGTCCATCTCAGGCAGATCCTGTGCTACGGTTCCGTTCGGATCTCAGTTCCAGAGGAGCAGGAGGCTGGGGTCTGGGTCGGGTCCATCGGGTCCACGTCCCCCCCCCCCTACCAGCTCCTGACCCAGGTCTACCTCAGGGTGGACCAGGGGACAGGGGATGTCTACACGACCGACCACAGGTGGTTATTTATTGAAACTCATTCTAGATGATGTGATAGCCTTCAGGCCTTTTGACTGTTTCTTTACCTAACTGGATGGATTTTTGCACTTCTTTGATGTTTATTGTTGCTGTATGTTTTTAATGTATACCTTCTGCTGATAAAGAAACTTCCTCTTGACTAGTAGCAAAGTAATACACTACATGGCCAAAAGTATTTGGACACCTGCTCGTCGAACAAAATCATGGGCATTAATATGGAGTTGGTCCCCCTTTGCTGCTATAACAGCCTCCACTCTTCTGGGAAGGCTTTCCACTAGATGTTGGAACATTGCTACAGGACTTGCATCCATTCAGCCACAAGAGCAATGGTGAGGTCGGGCACTGATGTTGGCCGATTAGGCCTGGCTCGCAGTCGGCATTCCAATTCATCCCAAAGGTGTTCGATGGGGTTGAGGTCAGGGCTCTGTGCAGGCCAGTCAAGTTCTTCCACACCGATCTCGACAAACCATTTCTGTATGGACCTCGCTTTGTGCACAGGGGCATTGTCATGCTGACGTTGCTTCCAGAGGCAGTTTGGAACTAGGTAGTAAGTGTTGCAACCGAGGACAGATTATTTTTACACGCTAAGCGCTTCAGCACTCTGCGGTCCCGTTCTGTGAGCTTGTGTGGCCTACCACTTTGTGGCTGAGTTGTAGTTGCTCCTAGACGTTTCCACTTCACAATAACAGCACCTCCAGTTGACCGGGGCAGCTCTAGCAGGGCAGAAATGTGACGAACTGACTTGTTGGAAAGGTGGCATCCTATGACGGTGCAACGTCGAAAGTCACTGAGCTCTTAAGTATGGGCCATTCTACTGCCAATGTTTGTCCATGGAGATTGCATGGCTATCTGTCAGCAACAGGTGTAGCCAAATCCACTAATTTGAAGGGGTGTCCACATACTTTCGTACATACTGTATAGTGTATGTTGTAACAGTAATATATCCATCTATCTATTGCAGGATGGACCGAGAGGTCTTGTGTCCTGACCAACCCCAGGCTGGGGAGTGTATCGTCCCACACGACGCCATTGTGGGCCCTGAGGCAGAGCTGGTGAAGTTCATGGTGGTTGTAGAGGACATCAATGACCACACTCCTCACTTTGACAACACTGAGATCCACCTGAGTGTCTCTGAGGATGTGGCTGTGGGGACCAGTTTCTTATTGGACGACCGGGCAGAGGACAGAGACATTGGACGTAACGGACAGCTGCAGTACCACCTAGAGGGAGCCGGTGGGTTTTTCAGTGTGACAGTAGAAGAAGAAGAAGAAGCAGCCATTTTGTTTTTGGTTGTGCGACAAGGACTAGACCGCGAGAAGCAGGATCTTCATGAGATGACTCTAGTGGCCACAGACTGTAGCTTTACTCCACTAAGCGCCACAGCAACTTTATTCATAAAAGTGACTGACGTGAACGATAACTGCCCAAAGTTTACACTGGACAGCCCCCAGAAGGTGGTTATTACAGTGGACACACCCAGAGACACAGCAGTAGCCAGGGTCAGAGCCACAGACCTAGACCTGGGCCCCAACGCTGCTATAACCTACTCCCTCAGCCCCAAGATCTCAGAACGGGCCAGGGAACTCTTCAGTCTGGACAGTCACACTGGCCTGATCAGCCTGAGAGGAGACCTCAGAGACCGCCACAGTGACAGTGTTAGTGTTAGTGACAGGGGAGAGGAGGTGGTGTTGAAAGTGTTAGCCAGCGGCCCCCACTGCCCCCCTGCAGACACTCAGGTAACCGTATCCCTGCTCCCCGCGCCATACCAGGAGAATGGCATAAAGATCAGGTTCATAGCAGATCATCAAAACCAGACAATAGTGTTACAGGAAAATCAGCCCCCCACTGTCTTGGCTTTGCTAGAGCTGCCGGGGAACACTAGTAGTGTTAGAGGCTCATCGTCTCTCTCCATTGAAGGAGAGGTGCCGTTTTCTTTGAGCCTGCAGAACGGCAAATATCTCCTGTCGACATCAAAGCCCTTAGACTACGAGATGAAGAGTGAATATCATGTTTCTGTAGTGATGCGTGGTAGTGTCGGGGAGACTGCAGCTCAGGGCTTCCCTAGGAGAGTGATCCGGGTGAGGGTGGTGGATGTGAATGATAATGCTCCACAGTTTCTCCAGAGTCCCTATCTGATAGACATAGAGGAGAATAACCCTGCTGGGGCGTTTCTGCTTAAAGTCAGGGCGCAGGATGCAGACAGCAGTCAGAACGGGCAGGTCACCTACAAACTGGGCCAACCATCACACACAGCGGCAGCCATTTTTAGAATCGACCAGAACACAGGTCAGCTGACAGTTTCTGTACCCCTGGACAGGGAACAACAGGACGTTCACAGACTGACAGTTGTAGCCAGAGATAATGGCGTTCCTCCATTAGAGTCCTCTGCGACGGTGACGATCACCGTCCTGGACCAGAATGATAACGCTCCTGTCTTCCTCACCCCTCACTTCATCTTCTTCATCCCTGAGAATATACCTCCCCTGGCCCAGGTGGGGAAGGTGGGGGTGTCGGACTTGGACGCAGGGCTTAACGGGGAGGTGGAGGTGAGGGTGGTGAACAGCAGTGTCGGCCCCTTCGTCATAGACAACGCCCAGGGGATGCTGCGCTGCATGGCCGACATCGACCGCGAGAAACAGGACCGCTACGAGTTAGATCTCCTTGCCACCGACAACGGACGCCCGTCACCTCTGACCTCCGTCGCCAGGGTAACCGTGTTCATCGAGGATGTCAACGACAACCAGCCCCAGGTCATCCTACCCAGCAGCAACCTGTCGTGTCTCACCATCTCCACGGGGACCACCACGGGCACCATGGTAACCAAGATCTACGCCATCGACAAGGACTCAGGGTTAAACTCTGAGATCACATACACCATTGCAGCTCGGGAACCACCGGGCACCTATCCATCATCCCATCAGCACGGTGACAGCAGCAGCAGTCCCTTCCAGCTGGGCGCTCGGTCCGGTAACGTGACCTTAGCCCAGAGACTCATGGGTAAGGACCTGGGGATGCACCACCTGTTCATCGTGGTGACTGACGGTGGGAAACCAGTTCCCCTCCACACCACCATCTGGGTCAACCTGCTGGTCAACGACACCTTGGAACCATGCCACCTGGACATCATGCCAAGATCCCTGCCCTATAGACCGGCACAGACGCCCCCCGAAACACCCTCTGAGACGCCCGTCTGCGACAGACATGCTCAGTTGATCCTGCTGCTAGGCCTGGGCATGATGGTGGCCTCGCTCTGTCTGTTTCTGGTGACAGTTGTTTTATACATGAAACAGAGGAAGAGATCTAGAGGAGAACGGCAGCAGAGGAGGCAGGTAAAGGAGAATCAGATTCCTCTACGCATTCAGGAGAGATATTCTTCAGGAGAAGCGTTATAATGAGAGAGAGGCAGTGCTTGTTCTGACTGGACTCTGTATTATGTATATAGTTGACGTTTCCTGTATACCATGTAAAAAGTCTGAAATCAATTCTACAATTAAATACATTTTCACTGTTTTCACACAAAGGAGTCTCTCTCTCTCTTTCAATATTCTAAATTGAAACGCACTGGTTAAATGTCTGATACAATCCAATATAAATTTGATCAAGCTAACGAATAAAATAAAATAAAGAAAGAAGCTAGCTTTAAAGTGAGGTAAAGATTTAAGGAACATCATTTATAACAAATGAAAGGAACATTTCTTCATTTGCCGTGAGGTTTATATTTCATTTTCTTTAGCTAATTGTAGTCTAGTATTGGTTAGTAGAGGCTAACCCAGAGTAATACATCCTACAGCAAACAAAGAGAAGACTATGACTTTTATTGTGTCCCAAACAGCACCCTATTCCCGACATTGGTAGGGCACTGGTCAAAAGTAGTGCACTATATAGGGAATAGGGTGACATTTGGGACAAAGACTTCATCTAATCAAAATGTGAGTGAGAAGGAAATCTGAGATATTCAAGGAAATTATTAACTTGAGATATGTGACCTGTCAACTAAGGCAGACATCGATGTTAAATAAGGGATACACATTCTAAACTCGTCTTGTACGAAAGAGTGAGAAGAAGAAAACAAAGTGAAAGTGGTTTTAATCACAAGATCGTTATGTTCTGTTTCCATTATCTTTAGCCTAATCCCTGGTCAGATCGTTATGTTCTGTTTCCATTATCTTTAGCCTAATCCCTGTTCAGATCGTTATGTTCTGTTTCCATTATCTTTAGCCTAATCCTGTTCGATCGTATGTTGTTTCCATTATCTTTAGCCTAATCCCTGGTCAGATCGTTATGTTCTGTTTCCATTATCTTTAGCCTAATCCCTGTTCAGATCGTTATGTTCTGTTTCCATTATCTTTAGCCTAATCCCTGTTCAGATCGTTATGTTCTGTTTCCATTATCTTTACCATCTGTTCAGATCGTTAGTTGTTCATACTTTAGCCTAATCCCTGTTCAGATCGTTATGTTCTGTTTCCATTATCTTTATCCTAATCCCTGTTCAGATCGTTATGTTCTGTTTCCATTATCCTAATCCCTGTTCGAGATCGTTATGTTCTGTTTCCTATCTATCTTTAGCCATTATCCCATGGGTCTTATTTCTTTCCATATCTTTAGCCTATCCTGATGTTTGTTCCATATCGTTAGCCTAATCCTGGTCATCGTATGTTCTGTTTCCATTATCTTTAGCCTAATCCTGTTCAGATCGTTATGTTCTGTTTCCATATCTAGCCTAATCCTGTTCAGAATCTGTTTCAATCTTCCATGTTCAGATCGTTTATGTTCTGTTTCCATTATCTTTAGCCTAATCCCTGGTCAGATCTTTATGTTCTGTTTCCATTATCTTTAGCCTAATCCCTGGTCAGATCTTTATGTTCCGTTTCCATTATCTTTAGCCTAATCCCTGGTCAGATCTTTATGTTCTGTTTCCATTATCTTTAGCCTAATCCCTTCAGATCTTATGTTCTGTTCCATATTCTTAGCTATTAATCGTTATGTTTGTTCCATTATCTTTAGCCTAATCCCTGGTCAATCGTAGTTCTGTTTCCATTTCTTTAGTAACCCTGGTCAGATCTTTACTATATCTTGCTAATCCCGTTATGTTATTTCTGTTCCATTATCTTTAGCCTAATCCTGTTCAGATCGTTATGTTCTGTTTCCATTATCTTTAGCCTATCCCTGTTCATCGTATGTCTGTTTCCTTATCTTAGAATCCTGTCCAGATCGTTATGTTCTGTTTCCATTATCTTTAGCCTAATCCCTGTTCAGATCGTTATGTTCTGTTTCCATTATCTTTAGCCCAATCTCTGGAGTAAGACTTTTAAGCAGGTCAACATTCACAAGGCCGCAGGGCCAGACGGATTACCAGGACGTGTACTCCAAGCATGCGCTGACCAACTGGCAAGTGTCTTCACTGATATTTTCAACATGTCCCTGACTGAGTCTGTAATACCAACATGTTTCAAGCAGACCACCATAGTCCCTGTGCCCAAGAACACTAAAATAACTTGCCTGAATGACTATCGACCCGTAGCACTCACGTCTGTAGTCATGAAGTGCTTTGAAAGGCTGGTCATGGCTCACATCAACACCATTATCCCAGAAACCCTAGACCCACTCCAATTTGCATACCGCCCCAACAGATCCACAGATGATGCAATCTCTATTGCACTCCACACTGCCCTTTCCCACCTGGACAAGAGGAACACCTACGTGAGAATGCGATTCATTGACTACAGCTCAGCGTTCAACACCATAGTGCCCACAAAGCTCATCACTAAGCTAAGGACCCTGGGACTAAACACCTCCCTCTGCAACTGGATCCTGGACTTCCTGACGGGCTGCCTCCAGGTGGTAAGGGTAGGTAACAACACATCTGTCACGCTGATCCTCAACACGGGGGCCCCTCAGGGGTGCGTGCTCAGTCCCCTCCTGTACTCCCTGTTCACCCATGACTGCATGGCCAGGCATGACTCCAACACCATCATTAAGTTTGCCGACAACACAACAGTGTTAAGCCTCATCACTGACAATGATGAGACAGTCTATAGGGAGGAGGTCAGAAACAACCTCTCCCTCAATGTGATCAAGACAAAGGAGATGATTGTGGACTACAGGAAAAAAAGAGGACTGAGCACGCCCCCATTCTCATCGACGGGGCTGTAGTGGAGCGGGTCGAGTGTTTCAAGTTCCTTGGTGTCCACATCACCAACAAACTAACATGGTCCAAACACACCAAGACAGTCGTGAAAGAGGGCACGACAAACCCTATTCCCCCTCAGGAGACTGAAAAGATTTGGCATGGGTCCTCAGATCCTCAAAACGTTATACAGCTGCACCATCGAGAGCATCCTGACTGGTTGCATCACCGCCTGGTATGGCAACTGCTCGGCCTCCGACCGCAAGACACTATTTGCATTGCGAATGCCTAACAAGACACAACATACTTTGATCCAGTGTTTTCAAAGCTGGGAGACAGCTACATATCAAAATAGAAAACTAAACCCTCCATTTCTATTTGTGTTTGCACAAGCTGTTTTTTCTGTGAGGGATAAAACAACCAAAAGAAAACATGAAAATGACTTGTGTCCCTAAGTAGACAGTAGGTCAACTGAATAGTCACTCACTGTAAACCTAAAGGAGCTATAAGACCATTCACTGTCTGTGTGGGGTATCAGGTGTTAGGCTACTGTACACTAGTCCCTTAATGATGACAGTCTGTGTGGGGTATCAGGTGTTAGGCTACTGTACCCTAGTCCCTTAATGATGACAGTCTGTGTGGGGGTATCAGGTGTTAGGCTACTGTACCCTAGTCCCTTAATGATGACAGTCTGTGTGGGGTATCAGGTGTTAGGCTACTGTACACTAGTCCCTTAATGATGACAGTCTGTGTGGGGTATCAGGTGTTAGGCTACTGTACCCTAGTCCCTTAATGATGACAGTCTGTGTGGGGTATCAGGTGTTAGACTACTGTACCCTAGTCCCTTAATGATGACAGTCTGTGTGGGGTATCAGGTGTTAGGCTACTGTACCCTAGTCCCTTAATGATGACAGTCTGTGTGGGGTATCAGGTGTTAGGCTACTGTACCCTAGTCCCTTAATGATGACAGTCTGTGTGGGGTATCAGGTGTTAGGCTACTGTACCCTAGTCCCTTAATGATGACAGTCTGTGTGGGGTATCAGGTGTTAGGCTACTGTACCCTAGTCCCTTAATGATGACAGTCTGTGTGGGGTATCAGGTGTTAGGCTACTGTACCCTAGTCCCTTAATGATGACAGTCTGTGTGGGGTATCAGGTGTTAGGCTACTGTACCCTAGTCCCTTAATGATGACAGTCTGTGTGGGGTATCAGGTGTTAGGCTACTGTACCCTAGTCCCTTAATGATGACAGTCTGTGTGGGGTATCAGGTGTTAGGCTACTGTACACTAGTCCCTTAATGATGACAGTCTGTGTGGGGTATCAGGTGTTAGGCTACTGTACCCTAGTCCCTTAATGATGACAGTCTGTGTGGGGTATCAGGTGTTAGGCTACTGTACCCTAGTCCCTTAATGATGACAGTCTGTGTGGGGTATCAGGTGTTAGGCTACTGTACCCTAGTCCCTTAATGATGACAGTCTGTGTGGGGTATCAGGTGTTAGGCTACTGTACACTAGTCCCTTAATGATGCCAGTCTGTGTGGGGTATCAGGTGTTAGGCTACTGTACACTAGTCCCTTAATGATGACAGTCTGTGTGGGGTATCAGGTGTTAGGCTACTGTACACTAGTCCCTTAATGATGACAGTCTGTGTGGGGTATCAGGTGTTAGGCTACTGTACCCTAGTCCCTTAATGATGACAGTCTGTGTGGGGTATCAGGTGTTAGGCTACTGTACCCTAGTCCCTTAATGATGACAGTCTGTGTGGGGTATCAGGTGTTAGGCTACTGTACCCTAGTCCCTTAATGATGACAGTCTGTGTGGGGTATCAGGTGTTAGGCTACTGTACACTAGTCCCTTAATGATGACAGTCTGTGTGGGGTATCAGGTGTTAGGCTACTGTACCCTAGTCCCTTAATGATGACAGTCTGTGTGGGGTATCAGGTGTTAGGCTACTGTACCCTAGTCCCTTAATGATGACAGTCTGTGTGGGGTATCAGGTGTTAGGCTACTGTACACTAGTCCCTTAATGATGACAGTCTGTGTGGGGTATCAGGTGTTAGGCTACTGTACACTAGTCCCTTAATGATGACAGTCTGTGTGGGGTATCAGGTGTTAGGCTACTGTACACTAGTCCCTTAATGATGACAGTCTGTGTGGGGTATCAGGTGTTAGGCTACTGTACACTAGTCCCTTAATGATGACAGTCTGTGTGGGGTATCAGGTGTTAGGCTACTGTACCCTAGTCCCTTAATGATGACAGTCTGTGTGGGGTATCAGGTGTTAGGCTACTGTACCCTAGTCCCTTAATGATGACAGTCTGTGTGGGGTATCAGGTGTTAGGCTACTGTACACTAGTCCCTTAATGATGACAGTCTGTGTGGGGTATCAGGTGTTAGGCTACTGTACACTAGTCCCTTAATGATGACAGTCTGTGTGGGGTATCAGGTGTTAGGCTACTGTACACTAGTCCCTTAATGATGACAGTCTGTGTGGGGTATCAGGTGTTAGGCTACTGTACCCTAGTCCCTTAATGATGACAGTCTGTGTGGGGTATCAGGTGTTAGGCTACTGTACACTAGTCCCTTAATGATGACAGTCTGTGTGGGGTATCAGGTGTTAGGCTACTGTACCCTAGTCCCTTAATGATGACAGTCTGTGTGGGGTATCAGGTGTTAGGCTATTGTACCCTAGTCCCTTAATGATGACAGTCTGTGTGGGGTATCAGGTGTTAGACTACTGTACCCTAGTCCCTTAATGATGACAGTCTGTGTGGGGTATCAGGTGTTAGGCTACTGTACACTAGTCCCTTAATGATGACAGTCTGTGTGGGGTATCAGGTGTTAGGCTACTGTACCCTAGTCCCTTAATGATGACAGTCTGTGTGGGGTATCAGGTGTTAGGCTACTGTACACTAGTCCCTTAATGATGACAGTCTGTGTGGGGTATCAGGTGTTAGGCTACTGTACACTAGTCCCTTAATGATGACAGTCTGTGTGGGGTATCAGGTGTTAGGCTACTGTACCCTAGTCCCTTAATGATGACAGTCTGTGTGGGGTATCAGGTGTTAGGCTACTGTACCCTAGTCCCTTAATGATGCCAGTCTGTGTGGGGTATCAGGTGTTAGGCTACTGTACACTAGTCCCTTAATGATGACAGTCTGTGTGGGGTATCAGGTGTTAGGCTACTGTACCCTAGTCCCTTAATGATGACAGTCTGTGTGGGGTATCAGGTGTTAGGCTACTGTACCCTAGTCCCTTAATGACGACAGTGAGGAGAGAAACACAGAGCAGCTCTTGGCCTGAAGACTGAGATCTGTTTCATGCAGACCTGGGTTCAAAAAGTATTTGAAATCTTTCAAATACTTTATCTTTGCTTGATTGAGCTTGCCTGCCACAACGGAACCAATAGAAAAGTACCTTAAATATGCAACCCTGCCTAACTGGCACTCCAGGGAGCCTCAAGCAAATGCGCAAAGATTTTTTATGATTTCAAATACTCTTTGAACCCAGGTCTGGTCTAAACTGAGGTAACGGCCCAGGTTAAGTTGATTGGAGCTTTCTCCGATTTCCCACTCTGACTGATGGCTGCTCTCAGGTATTTAGACACACAAAAGGGTTTAATGTTCCTCTTGAGGGGAGGTGATGAAAGTTCCACCAAGGATCTGCTTAGAGGAGGGCAGGAGGCAGTGGGGCAGGTAGGGAGGGAGGGGGATGTGGTGAGGCATGGGGAAGGCAGGGGAGACAGGTGGGAGATGGTGGGGGGAGGGTGGGTGGCGGTGGAAGAGGTAAGGTTGCAGTGGGGGAGGTGGGGGAGACGCTGGGTCAAGGGAGGACAGAGGAGGCAGGGGGGCGGAGTGAGGGGTTGTAAGTTACATATGGACAGACAGGTGTGAGGCTGGGGGGGGGGGCAGATGGGGGAGGGGGAGGGGTTGTATGGATCAACAGACAGGTGTGAGGCTGGGGGGGGCTGATGGGGGAGGGTGAGGGGTTGTATGGATCAATAGACAGGTGAGATACCGCAGCAGCAGCAAGGAACACCACCATCTCAAGTCACGGAGCGAGCCCTCTCTCCATCACCCGATATCTGTCATTCTCACTCCTCTAGTGTAGTGTTAGATCACATTTCACCCAGCCAGGACAGAATACACTGTACTGTACTTCTAAAAGGAGTAGACTACTTCTCCTGCTGTTGTCAGGAGCCTTGTTCAGAAGGGTGCAAGGTTACAGAACACACAGTTAGAAGAGTATTCTGTAGAACAGATGTTATAGAATAGAGTCCATACATCTTGTTGTCAAAGGCCTTGTTCAGGACAACGTTACGGAAGAGACCCCTGACATGTTGACTGTTGTGTAGAGCAGATGGGGTTATGGAATAGGGAGTCGTGTCAGCTCTCCTCGTGACGTCTTTAAGACGTTCTGACCGTTTCACCTTACTGAAATGAATACACCCCAGGTGAGGAATGTGATATGATACCTGACACGGTTCTTATCTTCAGGTACTACGGCCCTCATTCCTTAGTGTCTGGTCTATCTGCAGATTGTTGTTCATAGGGAGGGAAAACATCAAGCAAGTCTTAACCTGCATGTCACAAAGTTAAGAAGGATCAACATGAAAAAGACATCAGGCTGTAACATTAAGCACAACAAGATGAAATAGAATACAGAGACCACAAATCAAAGTTTACTACATCCAGTATTGAAAAAACACAACAACTGTCGGAGAATCAGTTCCTGTTCAGTCAGTTTTCTAAGCTCCTTCACATGTTGAGACAGTAGACATAAAAGGAAATGAAAGTGTTTGGTTGAGAGAATTCCCCATATCACATAATCTTTCCAACGAAGTTGAAACCTGACACCGTAGTCGTTGAAATAATTATTCAAGCCTTTGGAGTTTGGCACCTTGTGTAATTCCACCTGTCATCATGCTCGGTTTGAAGTGTGTATGGGTGGGAGAGTGTGTGTGGGTAGATGAGTGTGTGTGTATGTGTGCGTGTGCGTGTGCGTATGTGTGTGTGTGTGTGTGTGTGTGTAGTGTACAACCTCAAAGATAGACATCTAGGTAGAGACACTATAAATCACCTACTAGTTACCTCTATTCTGTTTATATCCTTACTACTCATTAGTGTGTGACTTGGTCTACACAGCAGTCAACTGAGCTTTGAAAAAGCCTCACAGAGGCCTCAAACAGAATCCACAGTTCAATGGAATGTGGGTAAGAGAGGAGTGGTTCTATTCTTTTCTAGAACCCTGTGAGTCATCTTCAGGTATTCCATGGTGGAAGACAATCTCTTCAACCTATAGTCTACCGCAACGATTCTCAACTTGTGGGTCTGAGTAAAACATTTAATAAATAGAATACTCCGGTCTGAACTTAAATGACTTAAAGCAGGTAGAAAGTGTGTAGAAATTATAATTAACTATTTTTTTTATATATATACAGTGAGGGGAAAAAGTATTTGATCCCCTGCTGATTTTGTACGTTTGCCCACTGACAAAGAAATGATCAGTCTATAATTTTAATGGTAGGTTTATTTGAACAGTGAGAGACAGAATAACTTTTTAAAAAATCCAGAAAAATGCATGTCAAAAATGTTATGAATTGATTTGCATTTTAATGAGGGAAATAAGTATTTCATTAAGGTTTTGAGGCTGACGTTTGGCAACTCGAACCTTCAGCTCCCTCCACAGATTTCCTATGGGATTAAGGTCTGGAGACTGGCTAGGCCATTCCAGGACCTTAATTTGCTTCTTCTTGAGCCACTCCTTTGTTGCCTTGGCCGTGTGTTTTGGGTCATTGTCATGCTGGAATACCCATCCACGACCCATTTTCAATGCCCTGGCTGAGGGAAGGAGGTTCTCACCCAAGATTTGACGGTACATGGCCCCGTCCATCGTCCCTTTAATGTGGTGAAGTTGTCCTGTCCCCTTAGCAGAAAAACACCCCCAAAGCATAATGTTTCAACCTCCATGTTTGACGGTGGGGAAGGGGTGTTCTTGGGGTCATAGGCAGCATTCCTCCTCCTCCAAACACGGCGAGTTGAGTTGATGGCAAAGAGCTCGATTTTGGTCTCATCTGACCACAACACTTTCACCCAGTTCTCCTCTGAATCATTCAGATGTTCATTGGCAAACTTCAGACGGCCCTGTATATGTGCTTTCTTGAGCAGGGGGACCTTGCGGGCGCTGCAGGATTTCAGTCCTTCACGGCGTAGTGTGTTACCAACTGTTTTCTTGGTGACTATGGTCCCAGCTGCCTTGAGATCATTGACAAGATCCTCCCGTGTAGTTCTGGGCTGATTCCTCACCGTTCTCATGATCATTGCAACTCCACGAGGTGAGATCTTGCATGGAGCCCCAGGCAGAGGGAGATTGACAGTTATTTTGTGTTTCTTCCATTTGTGAATAACCGGACCAACTGTTGTCACCTTCTCACCAAGTTGCTTGGCGATGGTCTTGTAGCCCATTCCACCCTTGTGTAGGTCTACAATCTTGTCCCTGACATCCTTGGAGAGCTCTTTGGTCTTGGCCATGGTGGAGAGTTTGGAATCTGATTGATTGATTGCTTCTGTGGGCAGGTGTCTTTTATACAGGTAACAAACTGAGATTAGGAGCACTCCCTTTAAGAGTGTGCTCCTAATCTCAGCTCGTTACCTGTATAAAAGACACCTGTGAGCCAGAAATCTTTCTGATTGAGAGGGGGTCAAATACTTATTTCCCTCATTAAAATTAAAATCAATTTATAAAAATGTTTCCATCTCTGGAAATCTCTGGAAATAAATTCATAAATCCCAGTATTTTCAATATAGGGCTATTAGAAGTGCTATTTTGGTTGGTTTTGTGGTCTCAAACCAGAGTTTTTTAACATTCTTCATCAAGAATATGGGCAAAATGTAATTATTGACAATGAAAGAGGTGGGAATGTTGTTCCCTTGTCATATAATTGCTAAATGTACTACATTAAAAATAGTTTTCCAGATTGTATTTTGGTGATAATTTTTTCGCTAACCAAATATTGAGACAACCTGGTTCAATTTGAGTCCCAAGGCAAAACCAGTTGAGAACCACTGGTCTACCAGAAGTCTATTCCTATTCACAGGAGGAGCTTTGGTCTGAGGATTTCTCAGGTAGTCACCTGACATAGAAATGACCACAGCCTTATGAATTGGGCCTTTTAAATCAAATCAAATCAAATTGTATTCGTCACATACACGTGTTTAGCAAGTGGCCAGTGATTTCAATAGGCAGCAGCAGCCTCTAATATTCTAGTGATGGCTATTTAACAGTCTGATGGCCTTGAGCTGTTTTTCATTCTCTCGGTCCCAGCTTTGATGCACCTGAACTGACCTCGCCTTCAGGATGATAGCGGGGTGAACAGGCAGTGGCTCGGGTGGTTAATGTCCTTGATGATCTTTTTGGCCTTCCTGTGACATCGGGTGCTGTATGTGTCTTGGAGGGCGGGTAGTTTGCCCCCGGTAATGCGTTCGGCAGACCGCACTGCCCTCTGGAGAGCCCTGTGGAGAGCCGGGCGGTGCAGTTGCCGTACCAGGCGGTGATACAGCCCGACAGGACGCTCTCAATTGTGCATCTGTAAAAGTTTGTGAGGGTTTTAGGTGTCAAGCCAAATTTCTTCTGCCTCCTGAGGTTGAAGAGGCTCTGTTGCGCCTTCTTCAACACACTGTCTGCGTGGGTGGACCATTTCAGTTTGAAAACAACTCATTCCCTGACCGGGAATCGAACCCAGGCTGCAGCAGTGAGAGCACCGAATCCTAACCACTAGACCACCAGATGAAGTTAGAATGGATCTAGTCTCGTGGGGTCGTCCTTCCAAATCTCGTCTCGTTCACTCAGAACGTGAGAAGCCTTGGTTTCTGAGCATATTACATCTAATACTGATTAGAGCCTATGCAACCTGCTGTACATATGGAGCAAGCTCATCATGTGTAATGCTGCCACCTGGTGGCTAAGATGTGTGACGGAAATTATGTACTGTTGTTTTTATACTATTTTTGTACTATTTTTTTAATTTTAGGGGGTAGATCAGCTTTAATATTGCAGATAGATTGTAACTTCCATCAATGTAATTGTCTGCATCACTTCCAATCCCCCATATGGTTTTTTCTTCTTTTTTTTCTCGCATATATATATACACATACATACACACATATATATATATACACATACATACACATATATATATATACACATACATACATATATACACATACATACATATATACATACATATATATCCTTAAAAATATATATATATTTCCCTTTATTACTTTCCAACCCCACCATCCCTTCCCTAATTGGAGTAAACTAGTGAACAACAATGCTTAGGCCTCTACTTCATGCATATACATACTATATCAATTTTATGGACACAGTCAATAATTATATTTTGTTTGTTTTTACTCCTGAACTTCCTCCAATCATTTTCATGATTTCCATCTGGTATGCTTCTATATGCCATATCTTTCTAACTGTGCTCTTTCACAAAAGCTCACAATATATAACCTACAGTGGGGAGAACAAGTATTTGATACACTGCCGATTTTGCAGGTTTTCCTACTTACAAAGCATGTAGAGGTCTGTAATTTTTATCATAGGTACACTTCAACTGTGAGAGATGGAATCTAAAACAAAAATCCAGAAAATCACATTGTATGATTTTTAAGTAATTAATTTGCATTTTATTGCATGACATAAGTATTTGATACATCAGAAAAGCAGAACTTAATATTTGGTACAGAAACCTTTGTTTGCAATTACAGAGATCATACGTTTCCTGTAGGTCTTGACCAGGTTTGCACACACTGCAGCAGGGATTTTGGCCCACTCCTCCATACAGACCTTCTCCAGATCCTTCAGGTTTCGGGGCTGTCGCTGGGCAATACGGACTTTCAGCTCCCTCCAAAGATGTTCTATTGGGTTCAGGTCTGGAGACTGGCTAGGCCACGCCAGGACCTTGAGATGCTTCTTACGGAGCCACTCCTTAGTTGCCCTGGCTGTGTGTTTCGGGTCGTTGTCATGCTGGAAGACCCAGCCACGACCCATCTTCAATGCTCTTACTGAGGGAAGGAGGTTGTTGGCCAAGATCTCGCGATACATCCTCCCCTCAATACGGTGCAGTCGTCCTGTCCCCTTTGCAGAAAAGCATCCCCAAAGAATTATGTTTCCACCTCCATGCTTCACGGTTGGGATGGTGTTCTTGGGGTTGTACTCATCCTTCTTCTTCCTCCAAACACGGCGAGTGGAGTTTAGACCAAAAAGCTCTATTTTTGTCTCATCAGACCACATTACCTTCTCCCATTCCACCTCTGGATCATCCAGATGGTTGCAAACTTCAGACGGGCCTGGACATGCGCTGGCTTGAGCAGGGGGACATTGTGTGTGCTGCAGGATTTTAATCTACGACGGCGTAGTGTGTTACTTATGGTTTTCTTTGAGACTGTGGTCCCAGCTCTCTTCAGGTCATTGACCAGGTCCTGCCGTGTAGTTCTGAGCTGATCCCTCACCTTCCTCATGATCATTGATGCCCCACGAGGTGAGATCTTGCATGGAGCCCCAGACCGAGGGTGATTGACCATCATCTTGAACTTCTTCCATTTTCTAATAATTGCGCCAAGAGTTGTTGCCTTCTCACCAAGCTGCTTGCCTATTGTCCTGTAGCCCATCCCAGCCTTGTGCAGGTCTACAATTTTATCCCTGATGTCCTTACACAGCTCTCTGGTCTTGGCCATTGTGGAGAGGTTGGAGTCTTGAGTGTGTGGACAGGGGTCTTTTATACAGGTAACGAGCTCAAACAGGTGCAGTTAATACAGGTAATGAGTAGAGAACAGGAGAGCTTCTTAAAGAAAAACTAACAGGTCTGTGAGAGCCGGAATTCTGACTGGTTGGTAGGTGATCAAATACTTATGTCATGCAATAAAATGCAAATGAATTACTTAAAAATCATACAATGTGATTTTCTGGATTTTCCTCTACATGCTTTGTAAGTAGGAAAACCTGCAAAATCGGCGTGTATCAAATACGTGTTCTCCCCACTGTATATACTTATTATGGACACAGCATGTCTTACACTAGGTATCTTGTTGTTATTAGTTGTTGTTATTAGTCCCATCCTTCAGCTCCATTCAACACCTCCCATCTATCTCTTAACACCATCCATATTGGATTTCTATTTGCCATATATTTTTCAACTGTCAATTCAGGTAGCATTCAAAGTCCTGCATTTTTGTTAACCATGGCAACCAGCATTGTAAATAAAGAGATGTGCAGCCTCTGTGTCTGTGGATCCTTTCCCCTTAATGTATGTTTCATGTCAGCCAGACCTGTCTTTTCAAAGAAACACTATTTATTTAAATCTCTAGTTGAATAAAATAAGGAGTCTATGACTTCAGTCCTTGTTTCATTTTCACTCGTTATTATCTGGTAAATAACGGACAACCATTGATAACCAAGAAGATAATAAGGTGAGGAAACAGTCCATGATAGCCAGGCCATCTTTTCAAAGAAACATAATTTAATTATCTCTATTTGAGCAAAATAAGTAGTTTTGTCGTGATCACAAGAAAATCTGAACAATTCAGGTAAAGGGCACCACAGTCAAGCAGAAAAATCTGAATGTTCTATCATACAGTGAGAACAATTCGTTTCCCTGGCTACTTAGAAATACTATAAAAACTTAATGAATAGATGACATTCACTGCTATAAACCTGTCTCCAATATAATCGCATAGTTTACACAGACCCACCGCGGACCTTTGACAGTAAATCTCTGTGTGAAAAGGCTTCCCATGGTCTGTTTTGTCAACGAACTCAATGTACTCCAAACACTGGTGGTAACCAGATGATCCCAATAATTTACTGTATGTAGCCTAGTAAACGATGCCCCCCTCTGGTATGTTCTGTTGGGAACAGTCTGGGACTCGTTGTTGTCGTTTACCTGTTTACTACTCAAATATATTTGACATATAAAGTCAAAGACGAAATTAACTGCAAAACACTGGTCTCAAATGTACTAGGCTACACAGAACCACGGCAGACGCATTGTAAATTGAAAGGCTTTCCACCATTTTAAACCGTGTCCCAGTCCAACATGCCTAGCTCTGCCCACTGGGGCGTGGCTTATGGAGCGCTCTTTGAAATAAGCGCTCCTATCGTCAGTGTTCCACCGGATCCAGTTATCTCAACCACACCGGTTTCAAACAGTTTCAAAGCAGCAGACACCAACTGTTTCAAACACAGACACTAGGGGATGCACTTGCGCTATACGTTCTCACACAGTAGCCTAATGACAGATATCTGCCAGAGTAAAATCAAGAGGAAACAGACTCTTCTTGAAAAGTTTACTGATGATGTCACAGTGTCTAACCTCTCATGAACACCCCAGTCTCTTTTCTTCAGTCCATATGTTCCGAAGACAACTTTTACAAACTTCCATGACCCACCACCCATCATGTCATCTGATCAGTCCAGCAATCAGGGAGCTAGAAGAGACCCAAAAATGACATTTTACAAGATGTCAATAGCCTCCTGTAGGCTGTTAACCTCGTACAAACCATCCTGATCTCGCCTGCTTACATTCTGTTTCGCTAAATGTATCCTTTTAGTGTAACAGAATGTATGCTCGGGAGATCAGGATGGTTCATACAAGGCTAGTAGGCTGTGGCCGATGCCTGTTGATTCACACCGCTCAACACAATACTAGGCTATTGTTTCGTTTATCGTCCCATGAAACAGTAGGCTTACATCACTACTATACTACTGGGCCTATCAGACTAGGATACACTTGAAAACGAAAGAAAGAAAGAAAGAAAGAAAGAAGAAAAGAAAGAAAGAAAGAAAGAAAGAAAGAAAGAAAGAAAGAAAGAAAGAAAGAAAGAACATGGAACATTTTCTGGCAAGACATCTTGGAGATGCTACCACAATGATATGGTGCTGCTTACCACCAATGAACTGAAGTACATTTTTCCATATTGCTACATTGCCTTATCAGCTGTTAGTTTAATATTACATGTTACAATTGACAATACGGCACGGGGGGCCAGTATGAAAAATAAAATAATTAAAAAATAATGTATGCACTCACTAACTGTAAGTCGCTCTGGATAAGAGCGTCTGCTAAATGACTAAAATGTAATGTAATGTATAGACCTCCTTCATTATCCTCAGTCTTGAACCCAGGCCGTTCTAGTGTGGACTCGTAGTCCATTGAAAATCGACATTGTTTCTTTAAGATTCGACTTTCAGGCCATCAGCGGGTCTGTCTGTTCATTGTTTGAGAGAGAGAGAAAGAGAGAAAGAGAGCGAGTTGAGGTTGATATTTTGGGCGCTGAGGACAAGTCGTGCATAATATCAGCGGAGCAGCTGCGGTGGAAACAGCACAGAACGCCTCTGTTGAGCGCATATCCTACAAGAGACAACATGGGTAAGTCATCTACATTTGTTATGGTACCTCTAATAGGCTATTTATAGCCAATCAACCACAGCCAAACGATACATTTTCTTTGGTATTCTTGGAATTATTTTCACATTATAACATATATTAGGCTATGGCTGGCATGAGAGGGTAAAATTGCCTATTCTCACTGGCAAAGCCCAGTACTAAGTGGTTTATTTAATGCTTCTAGAGGCACATACTAGCCTACTTTTCAGAAGTGCCTTGTCGCGTTTGCTTTCACATACCATTTCTTCATTTTTACCAACAGAACGTGTTCTAAGTACTATTTGTTTGAGGAAAGTAGCAAGTTAATTAATTATAGGCCACTTTGCAACAATTTGAACAAAATGGGATTCAGTTAGTAAAATGTTTCACCTGCTTCCTAGGGCATACAGGGCTGTGATGTCACTGAGAAGTTAATTGAGGTCCCTAATAGGTCCTAGTATCTTTATTAGTATAGTTCCTCCCTGCAGTTGTCAAGGGGGACTTTTGAGGCCAGAACAGTGCAAATAGAGAGAAGTGGAACTGTTTAAACTAGGTAGAAAACCCCTGCACCTGTTGCTGGGTGAAGATGCTATTTTCCTTCCTATGTGTACTGCTATTTTGTCAAAATAACCAAATTGCTTGAACATAAGTATTGAGACTATGAGAGTAAAGTGTGGACAAATGTTCGTTGTTATCACTGCATATGATGGCAGTTAGTCAGTGTTCTTTCATTGGCAAACTTTTTAATTGGTTTAAAACTCATTTCCAGACCAGCGTTATTATGCAACCTGGAAGACAGCCTGAACACACACACACACATACACATACACACAACCCTGGAGTCGCCGAGTGCATGTGTATTATGCCCCTTCCAGCCATTCTGTACCAACTGTAATAATGGTACCAGCTCCAGCCAGTCTTCTGAGGGAGGGAGAGAGAGAGAGATCGTTCCCCACTTCCACCAGACTTTTGGATATCCGTCTGGCTGTCACAAGCCTCCTTCTGCTCCTATAAACCCCAGTGTGTGTGCTGGAGGTGGCTCTGGCTATTGTTTGCTTGACATTGGTGTCCCTTGTCTTCCCACACTGCACCGAGTGTTGTCTCTGCAGTCACACAAGCAGCCTCTCTCTCCCTTTCTTCTTCTCTCTTTCTCTGTCCTCCCTCTTTTCTCACACTCCCCGTGGTGTGAGCGGTGATTGGAGCCGGGGTTAGTGCTGGGGTTGGGACAGACAGACAGATCCTCACGTCCTAAGGGCCCATTCACAGCACATGACTCTGGGGAAGAATGCCCATCAGCTAGCAGACAGACTGAATGCTACTGTGCATAGAGAACAGACCAGTCCGTCCTCACAGAGTAACCCAGGGATGAGCTTTTTTACGACCACAGCTGGATAGTGTATTGGCTGTAGCCAGATCTTTACAGTATACAGTTGTTGTTTATTCATCCATGTAGTCACAGTGACGTTGTATGTTCATTACCGCTCCCCTGGCGATGTGTTCATTACCACTCCCCTGGTGATGTGTTCATTACCACTCCCCTGGTGATGTGTTCATTACCACTCCCCTGGCGATGTTTCATTACCACTCCCCTGGTGATGTTTCAACTTACTCCCTGGTGAGTTGTGTTCATTGTACATCCTGGCGAGTTTCATACACACCCCTGTGTGTGTTCATTCACTCATACCCTGGTGATGTGTTCATTACCACTCCCATGGCGAAGTTTCATTACCACTCCTGGTTTGTTATTACCACTCCGGTATGTGTCATTACCACCATGGCGTGTGTTCATACCACCCTGGTGATGTTCATAACCACTCCCGGTGATGTGTCATTACCACTCCCCTGTAGTTCATTACACAACCCTGGGAGTGTCTTACACTCCTGGTGATTTGTCTACCACTCCACCGGTGATTGTGTTCATACCACTCCTATAATGTGTTCAGCTCCACAGTCCTCTGGGGATGTGGTTATACAACTCCCTGGTGATGTGTTCTACCACTTCCACCAGGCTGTATTGGTATACCACTCCCCGGTGCTGGTAATTACCACTCCCCTGTGATGTGTCTCATACACTCCCCTGGTGATGTGTTGCATTACCACTCCCTGGTGATGTTGTTCATTACATCTGGTGATCTTTCATTACCACACTCCACCTGGGATGTGTTGTCATTACCACTCCACTAGGATTGTTCATACCACTCCCCTGTATGTTCATTACCACTCCCCTGGTTACTTGTCATTACCACTCCCTGGTGTGTTCATTACCACTCCCCGTGGGGCGTGTTCATTACCGATCCCCTGGTGAGTGTTCTTACCACTGCCCTGGTGTGTGTCATTACAGATCCCCTGTGCCTAGTGTTCTACCACTCCCGGAGTTCATTACCCTCCCTGGGTGATGTTCATTACCACTCCCCTGCGAGTGTTCATTACAACTGCCCTGGTGATAGTGTATCATTACCACTCCCCTGGGATGGTCATTACCATCCGGGATGGTTTCATTACCACCCACTGGACGATGTTGTGTCATTTTACCATCACCTGGTTGTTGTGTTATTACCACTCCCTGGCGAGTGTCATACCAGCTACCTGTGATGTTTCATTACCACTCCCCTGGTGACGTGTTCATTACCACTCCCCTGGTGGCGTGTTCATTACCACTCCCCTGGTGATGTGTTCATTACCACTCCCCTGGCGATGTGTTCATTACCACTCCCCTGGCGATGTGTTCATTACCACTCCCCTGGTGATGTGTTCATTACCACTCCCCTGGTGATGTGTTCATTACCACTCCCCTGGTGATGTGTTCATTACCACTCCCCTGGTGATGTGTTCATTACCACTCCCCTGGTGACGTGTTCATTACCACTCCCCTGGCGATGTGTTCATTACCACTCCCCTGGCGATGTGTTCATTACCACTCCCCTGGTGATGTGTTCATTACCACTCCCCTGGTGATGTGTTCATTACCACTCCCCTGGTGATGTGTTCATTACCACTCCCCTGGTGATGTGTTCATTACCACTCCCCTGGTGATGTGTTCATTACCACTCCCCTGGGATGTGTTCATTACCACTCCCCTGGCGATGTGTTCATTACCACTCCCCTGGTGATGTGTTCATTACACTCCCCTGGGATGTGTCATACACTCCCCTGGCGATGTGTTCATTACCACTCCCCTGGTGATGTGTTCATTACCACTCCCCTGGTGATGTGTTCTTTACCTCCTCACATGTTGTTATATCCTGTATTGGTGGTTGTGACTGCTGTAGAAAGAGTGTCTGGGAGGATTGCCCTATGCTTCTCTAGAGGTAACCCATACATAACCCTACATTAACCCCTATGTGGTTATGTCCTGTCCTATAGGTTGTTATGACTGCTGTATGAAGTGCCTGGGAGGAGTACCCTATTGCTCCCTGGTGGCCACTATGCTATGTTTCTCAGGGATAGCTCTGTTCTGTGGCTGTGGTCACCAGGCCCTCACTGAGACGGAGAGACTCATCGAGACATACTTCGCCCGTAACCTACAGGACTACATTACCCTGGCCTACCTGTGAGTGGCTCAAAGGCTATTGCTTTATCCCTAACCTACCCCCTACGAATACCTGAAACTGATTAGAAAAGAGGTGGCCAAGACCTAGAAGGCTTTAAAGCTGGGCTGGAATAAAAATCACAATTGTTTTGGTGATCCAGGACCAGGATTGGCCACCTCTGGTTTAGATGTTCCCTAAGTCTACTGTATAAGTATTTTAAACTAAATGGTAGCCCTCATGTTAACGGTACACCTCATGTTAACGGTACACCTCATGTTAATGGTACACCTCATGTTAATGGTACACCTCATGTTAATGGTACACCTCATGTTAACGGTACACCTCATGTTAATGGTACACCTCATGTTAATGGTACACCTCATGTTAACGGTACACCTCATGTTAACGGTACACCTCATGTTAATGGTACACCTCATGTTAACGGTACACCTCATGTTAACGGTACACCTCATGTTAACGGTACACCTCATGTTAACGGTACACCTCATGTTAATGGTACACCTCATGTTAATGGTACACCTCATGTTAATGGTACACCTCATGTTAATGGTACACCTCATGTTAACGGTACACCTCATGTTAATGGTACACCTCATGTTAACAGTACACCTCATGTTAATGGTACACCTCATGTTAACGGTACACCTCTGTAGTGATGTGTCCTTTTACCCCTCCCCCTCCTCCCCTCTTCCTCCATAGTATCCAGTACTTCCAGTATGTTATCTATGGCCTGGCTTCATTCTTCTTCCTCTACTGCATCGTACTGCTGGCGGAGGGATTCTACACCACCAGCGCCGCCAAGCAGACCTTTGGAGAGTTCAGGAGCACCCTGTGTGGACGCTGTCTTAGTAGCACGGTGAGAGAGTGGGGGCAATGGTGGAGTGGAGGTGTAATGGTAACAGGGTGGGGTAGAGGTGTGATGGGAACAGGGTGGTGAGTGGTGGTACGGGTGTGGTGGTGAACAGGGTGGGGTAGAGGTGTGTGATGGTAACAGGGTGTGGTTGTAGGGGGGGTAGAGTGTGATGGTAACAGGGTGGGGTAGAGGTGTGATGGTAACAGGGTGGGGTAGAGGTGTGATGGTAACAGGGTGGGGTAGAGGTGTATGTAACAGGTGGGGTAGAGGTGTGATGGTAACAGGGTGGGGTAGAGGTGTGATGGGTAACAGGGTGGGGTAGAGGTGTGATGGTAACAGGGTGGGGTAGAGGTGTGATGGTAACAGGGTGGGTAGAGGTGTGATGGTAACAGGGTGGGGTAGAGGTGTGATGGTAACAGGGTGGGGTAGAGGTGTGATGGTAACAGGGTGGGGTAGAGGTGTGATGGTAACAGGGTGGAGTAGAGGTGTGATGGTAACAGGGTGGGGTAGAGGTGTATGGTAACAGGGTGGGGTAGAGGTGTATGGTAACAGGGTGGGGTGGAGGTGTGATGGGAACAGGGTGGGGTAGAGGTGTGATGGTAACAGGGTGGGGTGGAGGTGTGATGGTAAGAGGATGGAGGAAAGGCTGGGTGAGGAGGTAGTTGAGAGGATGGGGTGAAGGTAGAGTGGGGGGTGAGGAGGTAGTTGAGAGGATGGGGTGAAGGTAGAGTGGGGCTGAGGAGGTAGTTCAGAGGATGGGGTGAAGGTAGAGTAGGGCTGAGGCTAGTAGGATAGTGGTAAGGTTGAGGGTGGAGATGAGAGCTCAACAAAACTGTAAAAGTTGCACTTCCCTGATTCATTTTTGGCCTGTTACGATTCATAATACCTAAACATCCATCCATCTCTCTCCCTTCATCTCCAGTTTATATTAATAACGTACCTGCTGGTGGTGGTGTGGCTGTTGGTGTTTGCCTTCTCTGCCTTGCCTGTCTACTTCTTCTACAACATGGCCGCTACCTGCCACACCATCACCGTCCTGACTGAGACCCCAGCTAGCATCAACCAGCTCTGTATCGACGCCAGGCAGTACGGTAAGGAAAGAACTTCACCTCACTGTAGTTCTCTGTATGATCCATTATGTTTATTCATATGGTAACAAATCAACCTTACCTCACTGTAGTTCTCGATACGACCTAATCATTCATGTGGATTCAGGTTGCTCAATTCAATTAATTCAAATCTACTCTGCGGAAATTTGGAGTGACAATGCCAACTGTGAAAGCTGACATTTTACAGCAGAGAATCAGAAATGTGTAATTTTTTTCTATTTCTTTCAGGGCTCCTACCATGGAATGCGATGCCAGGCAAAGCTTGTGGAATGACACTGTCCACTGTCTGCAAAACCAGAGAGGTCAGTAATACAGTTTGTCTCATGATAAAACTTGGCAGGACTCGAAAGAAACAAAGCGTCTCTAGAGTGTAGAATGTCAACTTCTCTGACATATTTCCAGAATGACCACATGATCACTGACTCATCTCTGACTCTGATTTGACCTTTTACAGTTCCGTCTGACCTACGACCTGTACATCGCAGCGTTCGCCGGGGCTGGCATCACACTCTTGGCGCTGGTGAGTGACCCTGCCCTAACCTCTTAACTGAGACCAGATTGGCTACAGCTTTACAATGGAGTTGTGTCCCATGTGACGTAGTCAGTGTAGGTGTTCAGGAATGCCAGAGTGTCAGGCCTCCATGGCTGACGAGTCTCACTGTAGCTCTCTGTTCTTTGACTTGAGTTCTCAGCTGATTATAATGATAAACACCATAATAACGTCATAACGTCTGGTACTTTTCTTGCTGGGAAGATCCCATAGTTACATTGCCGTATCAGTACACTGTTAATGTAGCCTACTGTAGATGCTCAGAATTATACTGAGATTGTCATGGACCTTGATGAACAGGAAATGGGGCTCAATTCTGTCTTCTCTCTTTCCTTTCGTTCTCTTTCTTTCCCTGTTTCTCCATCTCTCTCTCTAGCTCACCTACATGGTGTCCACCACCTATAACTTTGCGTTGCTGCGGTACCTGGGGAGAAAGGGCATCGGCACGCGGTGTTAGACTCTCCACTTCCTCCCTCCTGTCTCTCGATCTGACACAGACACCCAGAGGGAACACTATGACTCCCTGACACCCCTCTACCTATCCTCAACACCACCGGTGGAGTTGATTCTTTGAACTTAAATGATTGCTTCCTTGAGTGAATTCTGTTCTGTCCATTTTCCCTTCAAGACCCACCAGCGTTTCCCTGTACTGTGTCTTCATAGCATAATGGGTGGTTCAGTGGAAGTTTTGTTGAGGAACCCAGACGTATACTACCGTTTTGTGCTGCTTTGTCACACTGTCTTTCTCATGTTATATTTAGTTTGCTCTGAAGCTGTCTTCAAGTTTTCTGTATTTTGTTATTCTCCATGTGTATTTTATCGTGTGTGTGTGTCACCAAATGTTTGTAAAGATTGACGTAATCTTCCTCATATACTGAGGTTAGTGTGCCTGGCATATACTCCATGTTTTATCTTTCTTCACTTTTAAAAGAAATCGCAATGTAAAACCTAACTAATCATTTTGGTAACATAACAAATAATTTTATTTTACAAATATCTTCAGTTATAAATGTCACACTGATTTTATGGTTAGGGACTACTTGCCTACTTTAGCCTATGGGATTATAATCAGTTACCATGGGTACCATCCCTCACATCTGGTTGCCATGGTGCCAGACAAGCGTGCATTTGCAGTTCTTCTCTCTGACCTCAGGGCCTTTTCTCACGGGCAGCAGAAAGGCCTCAACAATGGAGGCCGCCCCGCATAGGACTTCTTAGAAAACTAACCAATCAGAGGGGGTTCCAAGGGTCCACCTGCCCCGGCCCCCGGGTGGGAGATGGAAGGGGGGGGGTCTGTATGACAAGGCCCCTTTGTTACTATAGGGACCTTGGTCTGTGGCAAGGGTCATATTGAATGTCAGAGGGAGAGGGTCTTCATGACAAAGACAGGGTAAAGGCTGAATACTTCTCTCAATGGCCTGAATACAACCCTTCTGTGATGGGCCCACTGCTGCACGACACCCCATCTGTTGGAGGTGATGGACCCTGTGAAGGGATTTGGAATGAAAAGGGTTAACATTTGTTTGAACGAAGGGATTTCTCATGTGAGAAAAGGGACAGTATGTTTAGTGAGTTTGTGTTGGTACAGATCAAGAGGAGAAGTCCTTAATTTCTCTGTTTTTAATGTTAAGATGGTAAAGTTGTTACAGGTGCTTACTTTTTTAGCAACCTTTTATGTTATTTAGAAGTTTAAAATATCTCTTAAGATGCTTGACTCTGTTTGGCACTACATTGAGGTGATATTATTATTATTATTGCTCTCCCTTCTGGCGGTATATATGGTATCGTTTGCAAGGGATGAGGTTCTTATATAGAGGCAAAACGATGCAGTTTGGTCTCTGTAGCTGTCTAGAAAATAATTAGTAGTTATTGTATAACACCCTACTACTTACTGTAGATAAATGTACTAATCTTAATGACAATTTAAACTTTGTTTAAACAAAAGACGGCTTCTTTAACTAACAAAATATATTGTAACATACTGTGAGTATAGGTTATCCAATTGGGTGGAAGCTTTATCCAGCAGCACAGGTTGGTTTTGTGAATTGACAGCTGGCTGTTTGTTTATTTTGTGTTTTTATGATACCATGTTGGTTTGGTAATAAAATATGGTCTCTCCTTTTTAAAGAAGTTGTTCTCTCTCTTTCTGTTACGACCGGGTATCGAACCCATGATGTCCATGCTACTCTAAGGTTAATACTACTTTGTGTGCCCTGCAAGCTCCTCGACGTGGCATTTAGTTATTAACATTTATGTAAAGTCTGCCACGGGAAACTAGGCTGCTCATCACACAAGCATAGCTCACTGAACCAACTCTGTTACACCTCTCAATATCAGTAAATGTTTTGTGTGAGAAAAGCCTGGTGTTGTATTCTCTGATTGGTTTGATGCTACTGTAGGCCATGACCTCCTGGGACTGGTGTCGTATTCTCTGATTGGTTTGATGCTACTGTAGGCCGTGACCTCCTGGGACTGGTGTCGTATTCTCTGATTGGTTTGATGCTACTGTAGGCCGTGACCTCCTGGGACTGGTGTCGTATTCTCTGATTGGTTTGATGCTACTGTAGGCCGTGACCTCCTGGGACTGGTGTCGTATTCTCTGATTCGCTCATCGCTTCTCTTCCCCACAGATACACTGCTCCCTCCACCTGGCAGTCAGACGGGTAGGCCTAAAGGAAGAGAGAAGGCGGGGGAAGGAGGAGAGGAAGAGCTACGAGCTGTACGGTAGACTGCAGAAGGACATAGGAGGGACAATGCACTCCCCTTACGCCCCCCACATCATATCTGATAGTCTACCTCCTGACTGACCCCCTCCATCCTCCATGGTAACCCCTGAGAACAATCAATTGGAGCTGACTCCTTAAACTTGAAGTGCCAGTTTCCCGGACCCAGATTAAGCCTAATCCTGGATTTTTAAAAGCACTTTCAGTGGAGAATCTCCATTGATCATGCTTTTTAATCCAGGACTTGGCCTACTAATCTGAGCCCGGGAAACTGTCCCGCGAAAGGTTCCTCCCTAATATGGAAAACAATTTATATTTGCTTTATATCCTTAGTCTTTAAACCCAGACACCCCTCTTGTGTCTTCTTAGCCCAGTGGGTGGTTTAGTTTGGAGAGCTGTTGAGATTCCTGCAGAGTATACTTCTGCTTTGGATCTAGCAAGTCCTTTTAGGACCAGGCCAGATCCATTGTCAGGATATTATTCCATGTTAAAATACAGATTCTTTATGTATTTTATATACAGATGATCTGACTCTAGCCATACATTGGCTCTATGAAGTCCTATGAAGTTGCTTCAAGTGTGTTCATTTTGATGTAGGTTTACATGACTTGTGTTCCAGCTTAAATTCATAGTTAGATGTATGAGTTGTACACAGTGCAGATGTTGGACCTATTTGGCCTTGATCTTTTCATGTCCTTCTCTGAGGGGACGAATATGAAATGTTACCATATCAAATGTGTTTTGCTTTTCTGGCCAAATCAATGTAAATAAAGAAGATATGCAATACCCTAACTATCCCTTTTTTATGATCCGATGCTAGCAATGTAGTTTCTAAAGAGTCATGCACTCAACACCACACTGTCGAAAAGAAGGCCAAAACCACATACAAGCCAGTTCCTGTATTTGGTATGTTGCATGTTTGTTTTTATTAGTTGTCATACAGTATTGGATAGTAGTCACATGTACATCAGTCTTTCTGCATCTCATATGGAACCCTATTCCCTATATAGTGACATCATTCTGACCAGGGGCCATAGGGCTGATTCCCTATACAGTGGGGCCATAGGGCTGATTCCCTATATAGTGACATCATTCTGACCAGGGGCCATAGGACTGATTCCCTATATAGTGGGGCCATAGGACTGATTCCCTATATAGTGGGGCCATAGGACTGATTCCCTATATAGTGACATCATTCTGACCAGGGGCCATAGGGCTGATTCCCTATATAGTGGGGCCATAGGGCTGATTCCCTATATAGTGGGGCCATAGGATATAGTGGGGCCATAGGACTGATTCCCTATATAGTGGGGCCATAGGACTGATTCCCTATATAGTGGGGCCATAGGACTGATTCCCTATACAGTGGGGCCATAGGACTGATTCCCTATATAGTGGGGCCATAGGACTGATTCCCTATATAGTGGGGCCATAGGACTGATTCCCTATATAGTGGGGCCATAGGGCTGATTCCCTATATAGTGGGGCCATAGGGCTGATTCCCTATACAGTGGGGCCATAGGACTGATTCCCTATATAGTGGGGCCATAGGGCTGATTCCCTATACAGTGGGGCCATAGGACTGATTCCCTATACAGTGGGGCCATAGGGCTGATTCCCTATACAGTGGGGCCATAGGACTGATTCCCTATATAGTGGGCCATAGGGCTGATTCCCTATATAGTGGGGCCATAGGACTGATTCCCTATATAGTGGGGCCATAGGCTGATTCCCTATACAGTGGGCCATAGACTGATTCCATTGTGGGGCCATAGGCTGTCCCTATACAGTGGGGCCATAGGCTGATTCCCTATATAGTGGGGCCATAGGCTGATTCCCTATACAGTGGGGCCATAGGGCTGATCCCTATATAGTGGGCCATAGGCTGATTCCCTATATAGTGGGGCCATAGGCTGATTCCTATAAGTGGGGCCATAGGACTGATTCCCTATATAGTGGGCCATAGGACTGATGCCCTATATAGGAATATCTGACAGGGGCCATAGGGCTGATTCCCTATATAGTGGGGCCATAGGACTGATTCCCTATATAGTGGGGCCATAGGGCTGATTCCCTATATAGTGGGGCCATAGGACTGATTCCCTATACAGTGGGCCATAGGACTGATTCCCTATATAGTGGGGCCATAGGGCTGATTCCCTATATAGTGGGGCCATAGGACTGATTCCCTATATAGTGGGGCCATAGGACTGATTCCCTATATAGTGGGGCCATAGGGCTGATTCCCTATATAGTGGGGCCATAGGGCTGATTCCCTATACAGTGGGGCCATAGGACTGATTCCCTATATAGTGGGGCCATAGGGCTGATTCCCTATACAGTGGGGCCATAGGACTGATTCCCTATATAGTGGGGCCATAGGGCTGATTCCCTATATAGTGGGGCCATAGGACTGATTCCCTATATAGTGGGGCCATAGGACTGATTCCCTATATAGTGGGGCCATAGGGCTGATTCCCTATATAGTGGGGCCATAGGGCTGATTCCCTATATAGTGGGGCCATAGGGCTGATTCCCTATATAGTGGGGCCATAGGACTGATTCCCTATATAGTGGGGCCATAGGACTGATTCCCTATATAGTGGGGCCATAGGGCTGATTCCCTATACAGTGGGGCCATAGGGCTGATTCCCCTATATAGTGGGGCCATAGGCTGATTCCCTATATAGTGGGGCCATAGGGCTGATTCCCTATACAGTGGGGCCATAGGACT